GCCAAATATATCATAGATATTGTGAAATTGGAAGGAACTGTTCAAAAAGGAAAGGGAACTAGGGAAGGGGAAGGGAGGAAGGAAGGGAAAAAGTGAGAAACAAAGGATAAAATAGAAACAAAGCTTTGTAACTAAAGAGGGGAAGAGGTATTGAAGGGAGGGGAAGGGAATCAGGGAAAAAAAGATGAATCAAGACATATGTACAGATACAAATTCCCTGTGATGAATGTATATGTCTAAAGTTCCACAATAATAAGGAAAAAAAATTTTTAGGCAATTTCGCCTTGTATTTCCTATTGTCAGGTCAAGCTGTTGTCCTTCTTGACAGAGCCTGGTGCCCTTTGCACTCTTGGGTTGTGGGAATTTTCATCTGTGAGTGTTGCAAGAGCCTTGTTTGCATGGGTTCAGCACCCTTTGGTCCTTTGCCAAACAAGGATGTTTTTCTTTAGTTTTGTCCTTGGTAGTATCTCTGCTGACCTCAGCTCAGGTGTAGGCGGCCTTGTGCTAGGACCAAGGCATCCAAGTTCCCTTCATGGTACTCAGTCAGTCACCGGCCTGTTGAGTTGTTTATTTTTACACCCACAATGACCTTCCTTCCTCCTCCCAGTCTCCTGTTAATTAGGGCCCTCAAAACCTGTATCTTAGGTAGTCACAAAATGTGTTTACACAATCAGATAGGAAAATATTGCTGATTGCTAAATCCATGCATAATCTTTCAAGCTTTTCTCCACAAGAAGTTCTATCATCATTTCATAAGATAGTGCTAATATTTTGCCACACCAGTATACCACATCGATGACCTTAGCTTGCAACTTATTCCTTGTTAACAGTGGAAATTTGGGTTGTTTACAATTTATGGTTTTTGAGACACCATGTCAGTGAATATCCTGACAATTTAATCTTCATGCATGTTTCAAATTATTGTGTTATTACACAAGCCCAGAAATGGATTTCCCGGGTTAGAGCACATGCATTTCCCTTGGCTTCTAACTATTTCTCATGCATAGTACTCTTCTCTCCAGGATATATTCTGGGTTCTTGGGGTGAAAGTACTTCTTCAAAAGTGATGAACTGTAATCATTTTTCTCCCTGGAACTGCCAGCGCTCCCATGGCACAATTGCAGGAATAAAGCCCCGTGATCCCAATGTGGCATGAGTGTCCCCACAGCACTGGCATCAGCTGTCTTTTCCTTTAGGTCTCCACACTCAGTTCTGCTATCCTGGACCTCGTGTGGTGGATCTCTTTGCATATGGGATGCTTACTTGTTTGGGTCCGGACTCCGGCAGGAAACCTGAAGTGTGTTCGGACTCGATTATTTTATGAGTGTTTACCAAAGTGACTGTGGGCAGCCGTGGGCGCGGAATTTCAGGAGAGGTCAGTTTCTCTGGAATGGACCTGAGAGCCCTGAGCACCTAGGACCTGCAGGCATGACACAGAAAGCCATGACCAGAATCTTCTCAGCAGCCCATGGCAGCCAAGCCAGAAGGAAAATGTAGATTAAGTACTTCAATCCCATTTTCCATCCACCTATGAGCTCCTGCTGGAAACTGCGCTGTCCTGACAGGAAGCCAGTGGCCCGAGAATCCCCGGGCACTGTCCTCACAGCTCAGATAAGAATGATGAGAGTGGATCTGGTGAGTGAATCTTGGAGGGGCACATACCATGGCTCCTCTTCCAGGTCTGGAGTGCTTTAAGGCTGATCAGAGCATTTCGCATCGTCTCAGGTTTCATTTATTCACTGTCTTTCTCGTCAAACAGAATAATACCAGAAAGACAGCCATGATGGTTTGGCTTGTGTGAGCAAATGTGCAGTCAGCTGAGCCAGGATATCCCCTGGCCCATGGGAGGGGCAAAGAAGGATGTCTGGAAACAGAAGGCAGAAGGGGCAGAAGGGGCACAAGATACCAAGTCCCCAAGAGTCAGGAGCGAGAGTTACAGAGACCCACATTTCCCTTCGAGGAGAGAGGAAAGCCCCAGCTGTCTCTCTGCACAAGGTCTCTGGTGCTATAACCCTGTAAGCCTCCATTCTAACAGGTCCGCAGCTGCAATGTGTGTCCACAGCACATGCTGGGTCCCAGGTCAGCACAGTCCTTTTCTACTCTGACCCTGGGATGGTCCAGAATGCCAACCACGGGTTTCTTCCTGGCTGGAGTCCTTGAGTGCTCCTGCAGATGCTCTGTGGACACTGCTGGTGGTTCCATTTGCTTCCTGGTCTGAGGCAGGGGCCTGGAGCTTCCCTAGGGTCAGGCCTCTGATCTCAAGGCCACGGAGCCCTGAGTTTCCGCAGAGTCCTTATGATTCTTAACAGGAAGTAAAGAGGGCTGGTCTCAGGATGTGTAAGCTCTTGCGTCTCAGATTTGTTTGCAAACTACCTACACTTCAGGCTTAACTGATGGAGTAACATCCTGGGAATACCCGGGACAGAGCCCAGGGCTTGCCATGGGCATTACCAGGTCACCCATTTCCTGCTCATCCTCCAGGACTCAGCATCCTCTGCCCATCTCATTGTGAGCTTTTCATAGACACTAGAGTTGGCACTGTGGCACATCTGGGTGATGTCTCAACTTCATTCACACTTGCCGGTGGTCTTGCTTGACCCACAGGAGGCAGCGGGGCACAGCAGAAAGGAACAGGACCTGCACCCACGCAAGTGACCTGCCTACCCCTACCTCAACTTTCTGATCTGTCTGCTGCATAGAGTAAATAACTGCACCTCCACAATCAGTGTGCTACAGTGCTTAGAACAAAGCCTCTGTGGCTTACTTTATCACTGTCTTTAGAATCAGAGCAACAATAGAATAAAATTATTGTGCCCCAAGTCTAAATCAGCAGCAACCAGGGAGTACGAGAGGAGGTGGCAAAGCCACCGTGTGTACATATCCTTGTCCCAGGCCTGCAGTCTCCGGGCATCCATCGGGTCTTGGGAGCCGGTGGGATGGGAAACACAACAGGGACCATCAGAACAGTCTCAGTGCCACTTAAATCCATAGTTTAACCAGTGGCCCCCAGGGTTTTCATGTACAAAATGAGTTTATATCCCACAAGGCTCCAAATCTCTTTCTGATCTAAAAAGGACCTTGATTCTAGGAGAAAAGAAGTCACTCCAACAAGGAAGTTTAGACCCAATGCTGAGCCAGTGTGACTCAGATCAAAGACTGGGCACAGCCACGGCTCCCAGTGGCCCCCATGGCCTGTCACGGGGCAGGCAAGAGACTTTTCCATTGAGCTGTCACAAGGTCATCCCGACTGCACTGAATACCTCCATCCACAATGGCATGTCCTGTTGGCAACCCTTAACGCTTTCAGTGACTAAAGTAATAGCATTTTTATAAGATTAGGATCATTTTGACCTGTTTTTGTGTGACTTTGTGTGTATTATTGATGTCAAAATTTTAATGTTTTAGCATTCAGAATATACAATAATATTTTGACCATTGAGGAGAGACAGTTTTTTTTTAAGACCCTGGGGGGCAGCTTTCTTTGGACTTACAGGAGAACCTGGGCTCCCCTCTACCTGGCAGTTCTGGACTTGGGGAGAAGTGAGTTGGCAGAGATCTTTTATGAGGGGAAAGAGCCACAGATGCAGGTGTGAAAGGAGAAAGTACCCTTGACATGCGTGGCCTGCGGATGGGAATGGCGCCCCCTCTTCCCTGCTGTCACAGCTGATCCCTCTGCTCCTTATCCCAGAGACCTCTGTCTTCTCCTTTTAGTATTAATAACTCAGCAAAAACTCGTGCAGGGAAACCAAGTTGAACTGTACCTGGTATGGAGCTTACAAAGTGAAGACACAGCTCTCAGTGGAGCCAGGCTTCTCTGTGCCTCCTCTGGCTCGTACCGGACAAACTAACTCCGGCTTGTCACCATGGTTTCTCTAACCATCTCTCCTCCAGAGCTTCCCGCCCTGCTGCCCGGCAGGAACCTCCTTCACCAGTTCTTTGCTACCAGACCTCAGAGGAGGAGGCTGGTGGCTCCTCTAGCACGTGCTGCCCTCGGGTTATCTTACACATTCTTACAACCTTAAGCAGGGGCCGGGGATGCACCTGCCTTGTAAGCCTGCAGTCATGAGTTTGAGCCCCGGTACCAAAACAAAACAAAACAAAATACCTTAAGCATTACCCATGATCTGGTGATTTCTGAATGTCCATTTTTAACTCCAAAACCACAAAGCTCTGGACTCTTACTACACAGGAGCTGAATGACTCCTGTGTATTTCACACTTGTTTCAAAATAGAGCACACGATGTGTGTGCTCTCCCACTACCCAGCCTGCTTCCCATCGTTTCCTCAGTCCCTGTCCTTAGCTTCCAGGCTCACCCTTGACTGTGCTCTTTCCCTCACTACTCGTGTCCAATCCACAAATGACTCCCGCCAATAATACTAATCACTAACTTGGGTTTCACACACTTCCCTCCATCCCACAGTCCACCAGGCACCACCCCCAGCTGGCTACAGACTTTTGCAATAGCCCCCCTCAGTGTTCTGCTTTCTGTTCCATTTCCCTCACTCTATAAATAGTAGCAGCCAGAGGAACTTGTGAAGCAAGTTCAAGCTGCACTGCCTTCTTCTTTGTTTAAATCTCTCAGTGCTGCTCTCTGTGCATGGGACAAAAGTAACTCCTCATCCCACAGGTGCCCTGGATGATGGAGCCCATGTCTGCACCAGACTCATCTTCTCCTCCACACCCCACACTCATAAACCAGCCAATTCCCCAGAACCCTTCCCAGCAGCTCAGACACCTGCATTTCCTTCTGTGCCAGGTCTCAGCTTAAACATGACCTCTGCTGTTAGCGTCCTCCAGGACCAGCACCGACAGGCACTTAAGGAAGTGTTCAGGAAACTGCTCACCTGTAAGAGGCTGGAGCGTCCCACACTGGTGTCTGCAGGCTGACAGCTGGAGAAATCAGTAGCTGCTCTGTCCAGGAAGCTGAAAACCACAGGACACAGGGGCGGGGAATGCAGCCCCAGCCTGAGACTGAGACCTGGGAGACCCTGGCGAGAGTCTGGTGCCTGGCAAGAGTCTGCGTTCAAAGGCTGAGGAATTTGGAGGCTTCTGTCCAAGAGTGAAAGCAGTAGGGACAAACGTGCCCGCTCCAGAAGGGTCCGGTTGGTGTGCGCAGGGTCGAGCTTCCCTCCCCTCCACCACTTTACCCTGTCAGGGCCCCTGGTCCTGCAGATGGTGCTGCCCACATTCAGGGTGGATTTTATCACTCAGTGCGCTGAGCCACATGCCACGCATTCCCGGGAGCAGCCTCACAGACACACCCAGGAGTGACTTCACCAATTATCCAGGTGTCTCTTAATCAGCTAAAGTGACAGCCAGGATTAGCAGCTCCCCAGGCTGTCATAATCCTCCCCACTGTTCATGGCACTTGCAAAGGTCTACATGCACACATGGTTTTCTTGCATGTGATCTTACAGGTGTTCTCTGCACTGCCAGCTCAGAGATAGGAATGACTGTCTTATTCCTTACAGGGCCCATACTGCGATTGGCATGTGCTTGGAGAAAGGTAGGGAGAAGAATGGAGGGAAGGAAGGAGAGGGCAAAGGGGAAGAAAAAGGAAAAATGGGGAAGGGAGGAGGAGGGGGAGCAATGAGTGGGGAGAAGGCACTGTTTTAAATCAGTAGCATCATAAGTAGAGATGTCCACTTAGAGCTCCATAGCCAATGGAAGCGTAGCCAATGAGAAGCATCTAGATATACTATGGCTCTTCTGTTGTTTAAGTATCTGCCTCATGGCAGGTGCTTTATGAATTATTTCACCTAACTCTTTTTGTAGCCCTAAGCAAAACCATTAAAATTTCCTTTTAATCTTTCAGAAAGAAAAGCAGCTCTGCAAACTTAAGGAGCTTGCCCCAAATCACACGCTGGTTCTCAATGTGAGAGGTCCAGGCTGTCCCCACTGCTCCCTAAAGTCAGTCTCCAGGGTTTAAGTGACAAATGAAAATAGCTGAGCGTCCTCCTAGGACTGTGGCTGATGACCCCCGGCTACTCATTAATTTTTGTCAGTTGCTATTTGAAAGAAGCCATGAGGAACCTCCACATCTGGACTAAAATAGGACATGGAGTTCCTGCAGGGGATCCATGGGAAGCAGAGCGATGACCTCACCCCACCTGGCTCCTGGGCAGCTGATGGTGATTGGCGAGTTCGCCTGAGAAGGCGGGATCTGTTTCCATGGTGTCAGCACAGCAACAGTCCAGGCTAAGGCTGCCTGCAGCACAGAGCTCTTGGAGGTCCCACACACAGTAAGTGACTCTCTATCACCCCTTCCTCATTACTGCAGCATTTACAGAACACTCACACTCTGTGCTCCGTAAGTTCAGGTGCGCGTGCCAGAAAGATGGAAATGCAAGCCTGTGTGACCAAATTTATAAGGATTGTAAAGGAGCGTGTTTGCTAAATTTCAGAAGTCAGTGCTAGGTTAGTGAACACAAGTGAAAATAAAAATGCAAACAAATATATGCAAATATGCCTTTTAGAAAGCCTTTCTACTTTTAAAAAATAGCTTTCTTTGTATATAATTCACATGCCATAAAGTCAAATCTATTTAAAATATACCCCTCAGTGGCTTTAGCATTTTAGTGTTGTGAAACTATTACCCAGAAAAATCTAATTTTAAAACATTTCATTGTCCCAAAAATAAATCCTTTATTTACCAGCAGTCATGCTCCATGCTGACTCTCAATCCAGCTCTAGGCAACTAAAAAATCTATATTTTGTCTCCATAAATTTGCATTTTCTGGGCATTTCACAAAATGAAAGCATACAGTATGCAGCCCTCTATGACTGACTTGATTCACTTAATGTGTTTCAAGATTCATCTATGAAGTATATACCAGTACTTCATTCCTTTCGATCACCAAGAAATATTTCATCATTCATATGGATCTTCCACATTGCATTTATCTTTTTGTCTGTGGACGGATGATTGAGATGTTTCTACTTTTTGCCTGTAATGAATACTGATTCTATGAACATTCATGCACAGATACTTATGTGGTTATGTTTTTGTTCTATTGGACATAAATCCCACTGGAAGGTTCACACTTCTAAATTTCAAAACTTACTGTAGTAACCAAGATTATAGTGTTACTATAGCTCAGCACAGTTGCACATGCTTGTAAACCCAGCTACTTGGAAAGCCGAGGCAGGAGGAGTCCAAGTTTGAAATTAGCCTGGGCAACTTAGCAATATTTTGTCTCAAAATAAAATTGAGATAGAGCTGGGGATAAAGCTCGGTGATCAAGCACTTGCCTAGGTTGTGGGAGAGCCTAGATTCTCTCTAGAATTGCAGGGAAACAAGAAGGTTGTGGTAGTCCTAGTCCAAGAATTCATATAGAGAGCAATAGAATAGAATTGAAAGATAAGAGTGAATCCTTACTTTAATGCTCAATTGCTTTTAACCAGTGCGCCATATATAAAACTTAACTCATCACAAAGTCATGAGGTCGATCCCCAGAGCCAAAAAATAAAAATAAAAATTAACTCAAATGGGTCACAGAACTAAATGGAAGGCTCAGTTCAGTCTCAGAGGACATAGTAACAAATCAGTGTGAGGTGGAAAACTATCGTCTTCTTTTATGTGGAAATATCTAGTTGTCCTTACGTCACCTGTGGAAGGCATCAGTTCTCCCTCAAACTGTCCTGTCACATGAGTTAAAATCAGAAAGCAGAGTCCTCCACTTTTGTTCTTTTCAAAGTATTTTTGGCTATTCTGGCTCCTTCAAATTTCCATATAATATTTTTTAGGATCAGCTTTCCAGATTCCTGGAGATACATTTTGCTGGCCGGTGGAAACTTCTAGTTGAATCGTAAGTCGTTCATAGGAAGTTGAATGATCTTGTTGGTATGGACTCAAATGTGGGTGTACACAGCAGGGGGAAGCATCTGCCTGGATGCAGGTGTCCTGTGAGACAAATGGGGAGGCTCAGAGGCTGATCAGAGCAGCGCTGTGGCTTTCCATGGCTCCTGCAGATTAGAAACACTGGTATATTTCTTTACTTTATGCCTAATCAGAGTCTACAGAATAAGGGTTTTTTCCTAAAGCAAATATGAAAATTGAAGCAGATTGGTGCCATTTTATGGTTATCTCATGCCGTGTGTTCAATAACCCTTTGGACTGAAGACGGGATGTTAGGGTTAGGGTAAGGGTCAAGGTTGCGGTAATCTCTAACTGGTTAGATGTGTTAAGTTCATGTCTCACAAAGCCAAAGAATGAACCTGAGGTTAAAGAAGATGAAGAGAAGAAAATCTTTTAGAGAAATCTCCTGAGAAGTAGGAAGGGTCCTGAAAGTGGGTTTCCACCCAGGGTCTTTGTCTAGGGGGTTTTTAAAAGTAAGATCACCCAAGTTAACTTGGGTCAAACTGTAATCAACATAGGGTTGCAAATGCAGTCAAGTAGCTAATACTGATCTAACAGAAAAGCCAAGGTACGTAGCAAGGCGGAGGAGACAGAGAAGAACCATGGCATTTCTGGAAGGGGTAGGAGTGAGGGTCAGAGTGTTCCCATCCTTTAGCTATGGGCTTGTTACACTACTTCTGAGAGCAGATGGAGTTAGTTACAGCACAGCTCCGAGCTGTTATTTATCTGTGGCCATGGGGTTTCCGTCAGCTTCGCCCTTGACCACAGGCCTGGCTGGCCTCATCTCTGTCCTGATTCTTATCCCTTTCTAACTGTCACTATGTAACTAAGCTGTCTGCTGTATTAAGGTTAGGGTTAAGATTAGGGCACAGGGTAGAGAGACAATGCTATGAAAGCGTGGAAAGGGAACCAGAGCTTCTCGGGGGTCTGTTACGTATGCAGGATCTTAGACCCCATCCCAGAACTACAGAGCCAGTTCCCAGGGACACAGCATCCCCACAGGAGCTTAGTAGACTAGCAGGTGGCATCTATGTCCACAACCAGATCTGGCTCATTTTGAGGAGGCTGGGCCGTGAGACCCCGGGAGTTTCTGTCCCCCAGCCAGCTGGGAAGCACTAGGGCAGAGAATACAGTGGCCTGCCTGCTGGCTAAGTCTCTTACCCAAGCTGTTTGGTTCTCTGCACCTCAGAACACCCCAGCTGAGCCCAGGGACAGAAGCACCCAGGCCATCAAGGAGGGCAGGCAGGGCTTCTCCCTCCTGTGTAGACATTGTTTTAAGGTTCTAGGGAATAGCTATGATTTTGTCTCTTGGCATAAAGATGTTAAACAGCGGTGATCTTTGGTCCACACTGGGGACTCTTTATCCTTGTCTACATTTGGGATCCTCCTATGTCAGTCGCCTACCTGACTCCTATTCATCCCTCTGGGAGCTGGTTGAGGTCTCTTAATTCCCAGTCTTGGTGAATTCTTTCTTTCCGTCCGCTGGGCTCCTAATGGCCATGTCTTTTGATTTCTCTGGGTGTCCTTGAACTGCAACAGGACAGATCCAAGGGTGGGTCATAGAAAGAGGATTGCTGGCCCCACCAAGTGTTTCAGATTCAGGGGTCCAAGGTTTTGGGCATGAGCATTTACTCTTCTGGGCTGGGGTGTGATGGCACAGATCTATAATTCCAGCATTCAGGAGGCTGAGGCAGGAGGATCCACATGAATTCAAGGCCAGCCTCAGCTACATAGTGAATCATAAATCCCTGGTGATACAGCTTTGTCAGGTTGGCTGGCCTTGGGCTCACTTTGTAGTCCAGGGTGATCTCGAACTTTTAGCAATCCTCCTGCCTCAGCCTCCCAAGTGCCAGGATTACATGAGTATGCCACCATCCTCGGCATCTGGCCTCTTCTTGAGACTTTGAGATCAGAGGCTTGAGATCAGAGATGTCTGCAGGGGCTGAAGCTCAGGTGGCCTCTGTCCCTATTCCTATTTTCTTTCTTTCTTTCTTTATGGGGGGCAGTACTGGGGATGGAACCCAGGACCTTCACACTGAGCTACCACACTGGCTTTTTTGTTGTTGTTTTAATTTTGAGACCGTGTCTCTCTGAGTCACTATGCTGCCCAGGCTGGGTTCTAATTTATAGTCTTCCTGCCTCAGCCTCCCAAGTAGCTGGGACTACAGATGTGTGCCACCGTGCCCAGCTGATACAGAAATCTGAGGAAGAAATCTGGCAAAGAATAAAGAGTGGCCATAGAATTTCCGAACAGAGTGTCTCTCCTGCAGTTGGTCATGGAACTGACCAAAATGTCAGACATGACAAGGCTCCACCAAGCCGTGGCCGTGGGGGACTATGGCGCGGTGAAATGGATTCTGAAGAAAGGCCTCTGTGACCCCAATCACAAGGACCCCGACTGGAACGACCGGACCCCACTTCACTGGGCTGCAATCCGAGGTGGGCAGTTGTCCTCCCGTCCCCATCCATGCGGTGCCAGTCTGCTGGCTGCGCGATGGGAAATTTCCCTGGAGCCAAGTGGGGCAGGTCATCCCCAACATGGCGACATGCTGGCATAGCCCACGGGGCATGTCGTTGACTGTCTCAGCCTCAGTTTATTCTCCAATATGACAAGAGCCCTGCTACTCCGATCCCATGATGGGTGCACAGGAAGAGTGTGGATATATGCAGCGTGATATAACAATACATCGAATGCTTACATTTTAAGATTGACCACAGTAAAACACTCATCAGCTTTAACCCCCTCAGGATCCTTGCCTTGCTCTGCACACATCCATCCCCGGCTCTTTCCGCTCTGCACGACAGCTCCGGAGTCCTCTTTCCTGAGCGCATTTAGTTATGCTGTCCTGCCTGTCTTGATGTCCCGAACTGATTCAAAATGTTTCCCTTTTGTGCTTATTCTGACCTTGGGGAAGAGCCAGAAGTCACACGGTGCCAGTTCTGGTGACTAAGGAGCTTGAGGACACACTGTCGTGTTTATGCAAACCTACTTTTCCTCTGGATGGTGCATGGCAGCCACATTCACTGTGTTATTGATTACAGCTTGTAAAGGCACTCAGGAAATAGGACTATCAGAAATGCTACCAGGTGTGACAGGAACCACAGGGTAGGTTTGCTCAAAGCGAAGGAGTGTTTTGTGAAGGATTCCTAGTAATGTGTCTTTTCCTATGACACATTTTTTACATTTTCATTTCAACATTGTTGCTTTTTTACTATCCTATCACTTACCATGCCCAGCATAGTCTGCTCTGTGTCAAAACTGGTCTTCCACCCGCTTGTCCCCAGTGGAAGTGGAGAAGGGGAAAACTTTTTGTCTCATCGTGGGTTCCCCCTGCCTCACACAGCTTGCTGCAGGATCGAGGGCCACTGGAGGATGGGAGGGGGTGGGCATGAACTCAGGCTGGACTTGGTAAGGGCTTGGTACTACCATAGAATCATAAGCGGCAGAGTTCTGTGATTGGCTTTGCTTCATAAATATATGCTTTGACTACCACTGTGGAGAATGCATCCATGCATCTGCAGAAAGCAAGATTATTCACAGAAAGCTTTCTTGGGAAATCTGTAAAATCCAAGCACAAAGGATTGAAGACTGTGCCCTGTTAGGGCACCTTCGCTCTGTGCTGGGCTCTCTGCTGAGTGCTTTGTGCCTGGATTTCACCGGCCCCCTGAAAGTATTCTGTCAACAAGCAGTAGCAGCTCTCTATCTACTGAGAAGGACACTGAGCCACAGATGCTGTCCTTGACCATGGTGACCCTTGCTAGGCCATGGTGCTGTGAGGATCTGGACACACAATCAGGTTAGAAAGCCTGTGGCCTCCAGCTGTGCAGCAACAAGGGTGCTGGGTTCTAAAATAATCATTTTGGAAAAGAGTCCTGAGACAGCTGAAGGAGCATCTTACTGGTGCCACTATGGGCGGATGTAAGGGAGTCCAGATGGGCACAGGGACAGGGGCAGGGACAGAGACAACTGAGAGGAATTCAGGAGAAGCTGAGGGACTCAGGTCAGGTGGGGATGGGGTTCATGGGCGAAGGAGGCCCTGAGGGGGACACTGAGAAGGAGAAGAAGCATGTAGACACCTCAGCAACTGATGTCTCCCTTTTTTGTGCTGTCAGGATGACCCTGACTTTGGGCCACCGGGTCGCTTTCCTATATCTCATCCTGTCCTTCCTGGTTCTCCCAAGGGCACATGGAGGTGCTGCATCTCCTGCTGGAGCACGGAGCCAGGCCCTGCCTGGTCACGGATGTGGGCTGGACCCCAGCTCACTTTGCAGCCGAGTCAGGTCACCTGGGGGTCCTCAAGGTCCTTCATGCCCTGCATGCCGCCATCGATGCCCCTGACTTCTTTGGGGACACACCCAAGAGGATCGCACAGATCTATGGGCAGAGTGCCTGCGTGGCCTTCCTGGAGATGTAAGTCTGTCTCTCCCCAGCTCCAGCAAGACCAAGAAGCAGAGCCCATGGCCAAGGTCTTCCCAGTCCATGGTCTCTGGTCATGATGATGCAGTGAAGTCCAGCCAGCTGACTCCTGTGTGTTACTAACTTTTAAACTGAATTATTTTTATTAGTTTTTCACTTGAAATGACCAGTTTGAGGTGAAAACTATAATCACCTATCACTTTTGATTATACAACATGTGTATCTGATAAAAGAATTAGAACAGGAAGTTGAAGATAAGTCATGGCCCAGGATTAATGATCCCTTCTTTAATGGTTTCATCAGAGACCCTGAAAGATATTCAAGCTAGTTAATCAAGTGAAGTCACTTTTCTGGCCCTCACTTTCCTTGTATTTTAAATGAGTTGGATGAAGTAGATTTCTCCTTTTAAGACTCTTCTAGCTTTTAAAGCTTACCTATTCATCTCTGAATTCCCTACCCAACAAGAACTTGTCTAGCTGGCCCTCCTAACTGTTTTCTCAGTCCATCAGTTAAACTTAATGAAGTACTAGGTATTCACCAGCAGTCCCATCACTGGGACAAAATCCATGACATGCACAGTTTAAGAAGGAACTTGAAATGTGGGCTCACGGTTTCAGTGGGTTCAGTACATTAGTGATTGGCTTGACAGTGGAATCAACGTGGCAAAAGGGCCAGTGGGGGAAAGAAGCAGTCACAGCAGCTAAGAAGCAGAGAGAGGGAGAGAGAGACAGACAGGCAGACAGAGACACAGTCTCCTAAATCATACTCCAGTGATCCTCCTCTTCCAACTAGGTCTTACCTCCTAACACACACCCAACTATGAACTCATCACTGGTCTCATTCACCGATGAGTTTAACACCCCATGGTCCAATGACCCCCTAACAGCCCAGTATGTGACTTTTTGGGGAGCTTTTGTATCTAAACAGTAAGAGTCTCAGTTAAGAACTTGATAGTCCTAGCTCTAAAAAGGAAATACAATTTATCAATTTATAATTCCATGGAGTCAGCAAGTAATTCATCCAAGCAGAAGTTGCATATGAGAGTGTACGGTTCATTGCTTGCAAGTAAGTTTGGTGAGACACTAAATCCATGGTCAGGAGTAGTTTGTTGTGAAGGAAGCATGACAACAACTTCCTCCTAAAGTGAGATTTAAAATGCAGTTATTGTCAGAAAGTGAGAGCCAGGTATGGTGGCACACTTCTGTGATCCCAGCACTTGGGAGGCTGAGGCAGGAGGATCTCTGTGAGTCTGAGGCCAGCCTTAGCTGCAAAGTAAATTCATGGCCAGCCTGGACTACATAGTGAGATCCTGTGTAAAAACAAAAACAACAACAAAAAAGGAAAACCAGTAAAGTCTTGCCTATAACGAGATCACTTGTCTATAGAAGTAACCCAAGAAACTCTCTTAAAGGTGGTGTCACCCATTAAAAACATCCAAATCACAGACCTAGGCATTAGGAGGCAGAACCTGAGGGTTGATCACATTTCCTTTCCCTGGTCTCTGTCCCTTCCCTATGCTTGGTGACCTCTGTGCACTGTGGACAGTGGATGTTGTTCCCTGCACTTCCAAATCTCTAACACACCCTGGTGTGACCGTCATTCCCTTATCCCGGCAGGTCCTAGAGCCTTGCACTGTTCTTTGATTGTCAATACCTGCTGCCATTCACCTATTTTCTTTCCTGATCTATCGCCTCCTGAAGGCTTTCGCTGCCCCTGGACACCATAGAGAGTGACTGCCACTTTCTTCCAAGGCTCACTACTTTCAGCCTTTACCTTTCTGCTGAATCCCGAACTGGGGTGCATCTCTGTATCCTCCTCTCCTATGCTTGGACACCCAGAGAAATCTCACAAAAATAGCAGAAGAGCAGCACCAGAAGGCTTAAGATGTCTTCTCTCTGCCTCAGAGCAGGCCAGCCGTCTGGTCCTATCCTGCTTGCTCAGGGGCCATCGCAAGCTCCTGTCACACCTCAGCCTGCATCTCCTCCCGGAGGCCAGGGGTGCACGGTTCCCCACACCTCAGCCTGCAGACCCCACACACCCCACTCAGTTCCTGCTCCTCCTTCGGTTAGAGTAGCATCCCTCCATGTGGACCTTTATAGCTTCATCAAGCCCATTCTGGCTGTATTCTTTGTTAGACTTTTACTCTTTCTCTGTATTTTTGAATTTTTTTTATTCCCTGCCTGCACTTTTTTTTGGCCCATGAACATGTTCAAATGGAATTCATTAAACAAACAGAAGGTTATGGGCTCCTCTCAACCTGCTGTCTTCTCGTCCCTATGTTTCTGAGCTCCTTGGAAGTATGGTGTCTGCTTCCCTCTCTCTAGATGCGCTTTGAGTCTTTGTACTGACACAGCTCTCACCCACCCTGCTAGGAAGCTCTTGTTGCTAAACCAGCAGCCTCTTCTCAATCACATCTTCTTGCCATTAATTCCACATGAATATTTCTGAAACTCCTACTCTACCGCTATAGTCTTAGTTTTTTTGCCCCGGACCACCTCCCATGATTTCAGTATGGCTTTTCTCAAGCTCAGACTTGTGACTTCCTTGCATGTAAAACATGGGAGTAACTGCACTTTAAGAAAGAGCAGCTGCTTGGGGCTGGGGATTTAGCTCAGCAGCATAAGCGCCTGCCTTGTAAGCAGGCAGTCGTGAGTTCAATCTCCGGTACCGATAAAAAGGAAAAAGACAAAAAAAAAAAAAAAAAAAAAAAAGAGCAACCCCTACTCTAAGCTGTTTTTGAGTCAGTCTACTAACACCTCCCTGGGGTCCAGCTGGCCTGAGTTTGTGTAGTGACACCTTTCTGGGGTCAAATCTTCCTTACTACAAGTCATGCAAGCAGTGTCCTTGATGTCCCAAGGCCCTTGGGTGACTGTGGACGTGTACTGACTTAGTCTCCCCTTCCCTCCCGGCCCTGTGTAAAGTCCCCACCTTGTGTCCTTCTGTCCTCAGGGCTGAGCCGCAGTGTCGTGCCCACCGCCTGGCCGGGCTCCCCCAGGATGAGCGTGACCCCGACTGGGATGCCGGGAAGAGCCGGCTGCAGCGCTCACTTCGGTCCGCAGCACCAAGCACCAGTAGGGAGGAGAGGAGGCCACTGTGGGGCGCGGCTTGGCGACACCCGGGGGCGGGGCTGCTGCCTTCCAGGGACCCTGTAGCCCACACCAGGGGTCATAGAGCACCCTCTGTCACCCAGGGGCCTGGCAGCAGTGTCCTTCTGCAGCCCAGCAGTCAGAGCTGAAGCCGTGGGGGACCGGAGGACAGGAACAGGTGCCAGCTGTCAGCTGCCTGTGTGTATCTCCAGTAATGGGCACCTCCGGCCTCCCTGCCCCACTCTAATAATGGGAATTTGGGGACCAAAAGGTTCTCCAGGATGCGGGGAACAGTGGTAAAAGCAAAATTCTAACTCTCCCACACCCTCTGCTCAATCAGTCCATCAAACCTTCCCTGCTCTCACAGCGAGGAGATCAGGACATGGACACCTGCATCTCTGATTCCTTCATGGGGCAGGAGCCACACAACCAGAACAGGCTCTGTGACCCTGATCCCCGGGAGGAGGAGCAGGGCAGCGACCAGCTCAGTGCAGGAGAGCTGAGCCCCAGACTGCCGAGTTCTGTCTCCTAACTGATGAGAGAGCATGCAAAGGACTGCAACCTGTGGTTTCAGCTGCACATTTGAGAAAATTGGAACCCAGATCCAATATTTCCGATAAAAATACATCAGCTGAGTTAAGGTGTAAAGTACACATTGGGTGATGACCTTTGTACAAAAACATGCAAAATGTTCCTAACAATGTTTATCATTGATTTTTGGACATGGTAATACTTTAGATATTTTAGGACTGAACTAAATTTATTATCAAAATTAATTTTTGCTCTTGCTTTGCACTTTTATAAACATGGTTTCTCTTCTGTGAGACCCAAGACATAAACAAATAGCAAAACAAAAGATAGAGAATAGGGAGCGGGGAGATAGATCTGTCTCAAATGGGAAGGGCACCAAGACAAGGGAGGGGGCAGCGGGGAGGCAGAGTGGGTGAAAAAGCGTAAGATGCGTCATGTGTGTGTACAGGGCTGCACAAGGCCTGGGGACACTGCATACTGCAGGCATGTACAAGAGGAAAGGAAAGGAAAGAATCAAGAGGTGGGTGGAGCAAGGGGAAAGGGATGAAAAGGAATCAGAAGAAGCCGCCATGTTGGAACTTAGGCGGCTGCGCAAGAAAGCAATTTGCCTGCCCTTTTGGTAAGCGCCCTTGGCACCAGCCAGGAGGAGAACTAGTCAGCTGTTCCCGTGAGCATACTGGCACGTGGGCTGAGAATCAAACATCCCCTGCACCCACCCTCAGCAACTGGGGACAGAGGTCTGAGCATCTCTTGGATGACCATATGCAATATAGCAAATTACAGGAAGCTCCTTCTATGTTCTGTTTGAAGGTAAAGATTGCTTTCACTGTTTTGTTTTGTTATGATTGTTTTGCTCTATTCAATATTCTCTTTCAGTTGGTTTTATAGTCTGCTTTTGGTTTGATTTCGCTATACCTGATTGAAAGGACAACTATTCTGAAGATAACGAGATATACTATGGTACCTGTTACTGTTATCCCAGTATCCTGCTGTGAAGTTCTGTTCCAATGTCACTACATTGTCTCTGTTGGCTTTATTTTATCTTGTTCTGTTGTATTTTTACTACTTTCTAAGTGAAATTTTTTAAAAAAGGAATTAGATTATTTGCATACTCACCACTTCCCACAACATTATGTACTGCAAACACGTGCTAATAAAAGAATCTTACAAATTAGAGAAAGAGAGAGACAGCTCCAGTGTTTGAAATTACCTCTGTGGCTTGCATTGCATTTTCACTCACCAATAGCACTGCTTTTGAATTCAGACTATACTTACAGCCTCTGCTGGGAGATGGGTCTGCTATTACTAATTTCTCTAAGCCAATGTCTTCAGCTACCAAAGATCTTATACATTCAGCGGCTGCTTCTGCTAATTCAAGGTGTAATTGATTTGAATTTTCTAAAGTAAACAGTGCTTTAGTGTAGGGAAGCAGAATGGAGATAGAGGATGCCCTCTCTAACACCCCTGTCCCCCAACACTGGGCCTCCTTCTTCACATCCTGGGACTCAGAGGGTGGTTCCTGGTCCCACAGAACAAACTCTGGAAGACACTGACTCCAGCTGGTGAGCAAGATTCTTCCCCTGAGAACCGGAAAAGAATATTTTGTGAGAGACAGCAACAGATAATGTCAGAACAAAGGAGAGGCTGATTCTGCCACAGGACAGAGGGAGTGAGAGGGGCGTTCTGCAGAGAGGAGAGGAGACTGAGGCAAGAGATGGACAAGGAGAGAGAGAGAGAGAGAGAGAGAGAGAGAGAGAGAGAGAGAGAGGAGACAGAGAGACACAACTCACAACTTTCTAGGTCTCATTTTTGGCTCTTTAATCAGGAATCTGTGAAATTCTGTTTTCATGGTACTATTTCACCTTCTAGTATATTAAATTAACACTTTTCTTTGCAACCAGACCTTTTGCTAAATGCACTAGTTTAACAGATGGGCTCAGGAGTCACGCCAACCTAGGTTTTATTTTCCTCTGTGAATCGGGCCAGACTTCCCTCCCCTCCTGGGTTGCTGTGATCCAGAACTCTCCAGCTGGTCCACACGTGGCCATGATTCCATGGCACAGGGGAGCTCAGCTTCCCTCTAGGAATTTCAAGCGGTCCAGGGATGATGCTCTTTATAGGTCAGGTGAGAATGAGTGACCCTTGTCTGGTTTATGTGGATCATCGCCTGTCCTCCATTGGCCAGGAAGACTGTGTGAGAGACAGTCTCACTGATGGGCTTCACCATTTGAAGAGGACACCGTGGTGGCTTCCCTGCGTGGAGAAGTTGGTGGAGTGTCTGAGCACCTTTCCTGTGATTAGATCCAACCTACACAATGAAGCTAGAGGACAGGTGCCACCATCTCTGGTAGATACCACACTCTGCAATTCTGGGAGGCTGAGTGCTTTCCCTGCACCGCCACCTGGACACAGACAGGGCACAAAACCTGCAGGTACTTGGGTGAGCAGCTTGTCTGAGGTCTCAGCTTTCCCATCTGTAGGGGTGACCTGAGGCCTGCATCATGGGGCTGTGGGGAGAATGAAATGAGACCATGTCTGTCAAATACTCGGCACAATGGCTCCATCCAGGAGGCAGCAGGCGGTTTCGCCTGTGGTTATTCTTTCGTCGGCCTGAAGCATCAGCAGCTCCTCCCAGACGGGTGCTTGGCAACAGTAGTCACTTGGTGGTCGGAGATCCCAGAGGAGCTGCTCACCACATGCTGGCCCTGAAGCTGGCTCTCTTCTGAGTGACCTCAAACCTGAGATTAACTCCCTGGGACATGGGCTCATACCTTGCAAGGTGCGTGGACTACACATCGCCTCTCCCAGATCAGAAGAGGAAGGAACACATCTTCTCTACACATCTTATTACTCAGATAACAAAATCAGACAAAGATGTCACAACAGAACTACCAATGTTTGTCATCAACACAGATGCAAAGATGCTCAGCAAAGTGCAGTGTATAAGAGAGAAGATATTTCCTTACAGATGTGAAAGTTTGTTACCTGGATATAGAAACCAAGCCATGTTATGCTAAGTGCAAGAAGGCCACTCTAAGAAGGTTACATACTGCGGAAGCCATTGATGTGACACTCTGAAAATTGCCAACTAGGACAGAAAACAGATTTGTCATTGCCAGGGACTGGGGTGGAAGAACGGTGGACCCCAAAGAGGCACAAGTGAAGTGGTTTTGTGCCATGGGGGTGTTCTTTAGATAATGGTCTGGTTACATGACTAAAATACATGAAAATGTGCATTTTACATGAGTAAAGTAAACATAAACATTAATGGGGGAAGGAATTAGTGGTTACTTAACTCATATAAAAGGTCTTTAAAAATACTAGTTCCGCTGGGGATTTAGCTCAGTGGCATAAGCACCTGCCTTGCAAGCAGGAGTGGAGAGTTCAATCTCCGGTACCGATAAAAAGGAAAAAGAAAAAAAAAAAAGTTTGAGTGTCTAGCCACTTTTTATGCTTTGATTTTGTAACTTTGACAACTATTTTTAAGGTGACAATATGTAATGTATCAACTAGTGATTTTTTTTCTCTAGTTGGTTCATTTTCTTAGGGAATTGAATTTTTTTATTATTTAACGAGAAAGAAACCAAAGAATGGAGAAAAAAAGAAAAAGGTAGAAATAATACAGAATTACAGAAAAATAAGCAGTAAGAAATCACTAGTTGATAAGTTACATATTGTCATCTTAGAAATAGTTGTTCAGGTTACAAAATTAAAGCATAAAAAGTGACATTCATACAGTGACACTGCCAACAGTTCTCCTCAATGATCCAACAAAAACTTAGTAACATGGTTATCAGTCCTACACACTTTTTTTTTAATCTTAAAGAGGGTAAGATTAAACATAGCAAAATAAAACAAAACAGTTCATAAAAAAACAATTTAAAAAAATACAGATTTCAAAGCAAGTCCACTGGAGATCTTCACTGTCTACCTTACTGTCTCTAGTTTTCTTTAAATAGTTGTCCCCATCTTCACACACTCAACTAGTGATTTTATGCTGTTTATTTTTTAAAATTCTGTTCTGTTCTACCCTTTTCTCTTTTGTTTTTTAAATTTTCTTTTATTTGTTTCTTTAAATAATAAAAAAATAAAATAAAATAAAATACTGGTTCCATGAGAACTAGTAAAGATAACACGTATTCTAAAGTCTTGGTGGAGAAATTATGGGAAGATGCTCTGATGGTCAGCAGATTCCCTGACTGAATGTATACCAGAATTACTTCTGAAATGTTTAAAAAGGCTGAGGAATAGAGTTTTCTTTTTTACCTCAGACATTCTGATTCACTAAGTCAACACTAGGTTCCCGGAATTTCCTTTTTCCCAATGTTTACTAAATTGTGATGCCTACCCAGGTTTAGCCTGCTGAAGTTCTTGCCAAAAGAAACTGACTGCATAGAATTCAGGATAGATCTTCACTTAATAGAGGGCAAAATATTTTTACCTACCCTGAGTGAAATTTAGGAATGTGGGTAATGAAACCCAGAAGTGTTAGCTATAACCAGAGCTTTGGTGTATACAGACATGTCACTGTGTTTTTCTGTTATGTTAGCAAAACAGTCAAGATAAATCACTTATATTATTATCCAGAAATTATGGAACCTTTTGGAATTATCTGTAAGTCTAGTTGTTTAATATATGACCAAAGAAAAACTGTTGTTTTAATATTTGAGTAACTACATTTTAATAACCTGAATGTCCTTTGCAGTCTTTTACATTTTGTTTTATTTGAAAATTCTTTTCCTAGAAAGAAATCTATAGCTTCAACAGGTAAACAGAGGACCCTGGTGCCCAGCAAGGGAGTGCTTTTGTGGGGAGTCTTCCCGATGACAAGGGTCTGGGTTCCCATAACTGAAACACACCTTTATTTAAATGAAAGCAGAGAGGAATCACTATCTAAAACGCAATGTGTCTGGGTTTCAGATCAACTAAGGCATTTCTAACTGCTAACACCCTCCACGCAGGTTGGCAGGGCACGTGTGCCATCGTGTGAGCCCGCTGACAGGTGAGAGACACGCCGAACAGTACGAGTGCCCCCATCACTCATGTGCCCGGACCTACACCCACTCACCCTGATGCAGCTTCCCTTTCTACTGCCGGTGGCATGTGCAATAAAGCAGAACAAGGCAAAAGAAAGTTCCAGCTGTGGACTGAATTCAAAGGCACTGATTTGTAAGAGCAAACCAATATTGCTGAGTATACAGCAGTCCATGCACCCTGGGACACACGCACAGAATGGGACTAAATATTAAGTTCCAGGAGACAGGAACCTTGTACCTTTTTTTAAATCTCTCGAGACACTGTGCTTGAAGCGTGGGTCCCATTAAAATAAATACACCCTGAGTTTGTTTTGTGCCATTTTGCTGTGAACAATGGTGATGCGTTAAGAAAAACAGTCCTCTGTGGAATTAGAGGAAGGCATGTCCCAGGGAAGACATGGTGGCCTTATTTCTGAACAATGTGGACAGCCAGGCTTCCTCCTGGGCACAGGAGAGCTCCCTTTTCAGTTTAGTGACACTGGGGGAGCTATGACCCTCAGGAGCCTCTGTTTCTTCTGCAAGCTTTGGGAGCACTCATGAAGATGAGATGGTATGTAGCTGGGGGAACAGGATACAGCTCAGAGGTGCAGTGCCTGCCTGGAAAATGAGAAGCCCTGAGTTCAATTCCTCGTTCCCACTAAAACAAAAACTAACAAACAAGCAAACAAATGATCAAAATAGATGTGTAGCTGAGGAGAAAGGATTCAGAAAGTTGGGTGGAAGAAAGCTTTCTCAAAATAACCAAGACCAAGTCTCCTCAGAGAACAAGGGAAATTGATGGCAGGATGAGAGGAATCACAGATGGCTCAATCTGTATAAGCCAAGAAAGTGGGGGTGAGGGTGTCATTGAAAAACTCTTCCATTCTTGTATTTAAAACATGTCTCAATACAATGTCGAAGGCAAAATCTATAGACTTTTCTTTAGCTACAAGTGGCCTCTGGAAATGTCTCCAGAGCTCACAAGCCCAGGAAATGAAGATTTCTTTATACTCTGCAAAGTCATTGGCCTTCAGGATCCAGTCTAGAGGAGGCAGATTTGGGGAAATCCAAGCAATTCTGTTCCCCATCAGTCTCAAATTGAGCAGTTTGGTTAACCTCTCTTTCTCCTGTTGATCAATGAGCCTACCAGTTAGGACAAAGCAGGAT